GTTAGAGATTAATTTGATTTGTAGTTTCTATAATTTCATAAAAATCATAAATTCTTTTGGCCATGATAATCTTGTCTTGGAAATGTAAAATCTTGACAACTGACCGAGGAAAAGAGGAGGAACACAGAAACAAGACAGATAGCTGAGGACAAATGGTCGGATCATGGCCATTGATGGAAATGTGAAGGAATTGCTCTGTGTTTGCATTCCTCTGAGCCCTGCATGTGAATGTGTACTGTATATGTGTGTGTATGTGTGTGTGTGAGAGAGAGAGATTTGAGCATGTCATCTGTCATTTAATTGGTTTCAAGCTGTGCCAAGGCCATATGCCAAACTGCAGAGCTGCACAGATGAATGAAAAATATGTTAATGCTTCTGAGAAGTTTACTGAGTGCAATATCAACGTGCGCTGACATCAAACAGACAGATGGCAGAATATCCAATCCAATATGTCAGGTCAAAATCAACGCAGGTTACTTTTAAACTCTCTGTGATATTTTTACACATAAACTGCATGTTGCTTTTGGTTGCTTGAAACCTTTACACATTTCCAAATGAAAAATTAAACTACAAATTAATTAAAAATTCCACACATTCCTCATGGGCTTTTTTGGGATCTCTCACTTAATTAATAAGTCAAAATATTTTCTTTTAAATAGCTGCGGCCATCTGTAAGGACCTCAATCCTCTCTATGTAAAAGTTAGAAAGCTCCTCTGGAACTTAAAAATGAAGTAATGATACAGTAATGCACTGGTCCTGGAGAAGAATTAAACATGAACAATAAACAGTTTGCCATCATTTCTAAGATAATGTTGAGAATACAAACACTGTATGCATTTTGTTTGGTCCATGTTCCATTTATTAACATAAAGGAGGCAAGCCACCAGGGGCGATAGAGACACTTTGGCTTTACTTTTGGGGACCACCCTTATACACAGTCTATGATTTGTCTATTAATGTTCTCCTACAGTCTCTCAGGTTAACAACATTTTCTGGAAATACTAGTACTGTCTAATTGAGATTTAGAGGAGAAGATTGATACTATATTCACATCTGTGTTGTAAATTTGATGCTAGAGCCAACAGCTGAATTGGCTTAGCTTAGCATAAATACTGGAAAACAGGTAAGCTTACAAGGAGTTATGTGCTGGGCTACTTCTCGACTGGAAGCTGTACCATCCTCTACTCTCCACTGGATGCCAGGCTGGTATGTGCATTAGAGTATCTGTGTCCCTGTTTGCAGTTAGAGCGCTAAACTAAGCTAACCGGCCGCAGGTTCAGGTTTGTACACCGACAGGAGTCAATTGATTTGACTGTTGCATGCAACAAGAATGTGTGGAGACAATGTTTCCCCAACATTTGAACACCTCAGCGGTATAAAATATTGATTTGTTGAGTAAAAAAATGCTGATTTCAAAGCACACAGAAGAAACCAAATGTCAGCACCAAACCACATCCAGACCCAACACACTGGTCAACGTCTTAAGGGTTACTTCACCCACTTTACAGGTGAAAATCAGTTTGTTTAAACATTTTTAATGTGTATAAAACATCATGACACTGGAGGACACTGGAGGCTTGGGCTTGGAAACTACAAAGTCATAACAGAAAGTCTGTATTACAAATTGAGGGTTGTATTGTGAGAGATGATGTGAGTTTTGGAGTTTGATGAATAGACCGCTACTTTAAAGATTTTAACAGTATGAAGAGAAATATGTTCCTTACAAGTTCCCCAACTTTACATAAGTAAAATAATAGATATCTGGACTATATAACCCACTTAAAAAGTCTCTCAGTTTTTGGGACAGATCTGTTTTTACTACGTTTCTATAAACTGACTGAGGTACAATTTGGCTGTAACATCTGTTTACACACTGAAACAGCTGAGAGCTGTACTGAGGTGAAGAGAGATGAGGAAGAGTGGGAAGCAGATAATCTGTGAGGAAAAGGAGGGAGAGTTCTGCAGCAGTGAGAAGAGACTGAACCACTGGGACCAAGTGACCAGACTGAAGCTACACAGGTTTTTGTTTGTATTATATTCCTACATAGTCTGCTTGATATCAACAAGAACAATACAACACAAAGTGCTTTTATACCATTACTCTGTGTTTACATCTTACTGAAGGCCCTACTTCAAAGCAAGAAACCATTGGGCAGTGAGCCCCCAGCTATTATTGTGACCCAGAACTTACCACACACACACTCATACATCGCTTGACTTGATTTGAAGGAATTCCCTGGAGACTTTTCTGAGTTCTCCTTACTGTGCAGTGGAGCATATTGAGCCCTATTGAAAAATCTTCTCTCTCTTGGTTTATAGGACCGAAATTTTTTTTTCACTCTGCCACCTACTGATTATGCCTTTTTTATGAAAAGGCATAAGCAGTTAGTGTAGTTCTTTTCCTTCTTGCATTGATTTGTTTTCTAGATCTGTGACAACAGATGACAATGTTTTGAGTTACGACAAACTGAAAATGTTCCAAGATGCCTCAATTTCATTTCCTGCATGAGACTGAGGTTAGGACCGCCTTTCTCATTAGCATATGGACACACATGGACAGTCAAAAGTTTGAACACACCTTCTCATTCAATGGTTTTTTTCTTCATTTTTATTTTTGTCTACATTGCAGTTAATTATCGGGTGATTGTGGAGACCAGGTCATCTGACTCATAATCAAACCTCAACAAATAAAACAGGTGGGGGGCAAGTGGAAGAGATGCCTCTGATGATATGAAGTTCAGTCAGGAACACTATGTCCTGATTTACCCATTTGTTGCAAATGGGAATCCAGTTATGATTGGCGTTGACGGCTCAATTCCTTCAATGTTCCCTGGATTATCCGAGCAGTGTGCTAAGATAAAACAGGGAACATGTGCAGAACCCCCTGTTGGGTGTAGCAGGCAATGTGCCTTTCTTTAGGATGAATATCGTTTACCATGACTGTGTGTGGACTCTGTGCTAAAAAGGTGGAGGCTGGGGTGGTGGAGGCAAGTTGTAGGCAGCAGGCGTGGGTGGCAGTATAGCTGAGCAGGGATCATGAAGGATGAGGTTGTATTTAAATGGACCGCTTTGGTGAGAGAATGAGCTTATTGGGGGGTGGCTGACGTTTTTACACTCCCAATACTTTAGTAGATCATGCCCTTAGTGTTCAGAAGGTATAAAAGGAGCATAGCTGAAGGTCTTCAGATTCTCACTCCCTGGAGAGTTCACATCGCAGAATTATCAGTCATACTCCTCCTCCGTATCCTCTTCCTCTTTATGCCCTGTACACAAAGACAAACACTTCAGACATTTGATATTGGCTGCAGTGACCGTGTTGCATCATTGAAGGTAAAATAATACGAACATGTATGAGTTGTATGTGAGTATAGTACACAGTACATACGTAATTGTCCCTGCCTGACCAATCAGGGAAGCGCTGAGAATGGAGCTGCTTCTCCTTGTCTGCCAGTTCATAATATTTTGCCTGCTCCTCTTTGCACATCGACCTCCACTGAGGACCCACAACAACACAAATAAAAGCATAAGTGCACACAGATCCACATGAACAGGTGTAAGTTCTGCAATGAAACCACCCACAAAATGCTGGAAATGCTCTCTTCAAATGTAGATTTGTTCACTGGTCATGTGACAGTAAATAAAAATCATCCACAAGAACACAAGTTATTGTTAGGATGTCAAGAATTATAGTTAGAGGAACAATTTAAGATTTTAGAAGTGTTTATCAAACTATGGTGAAGTTTGTGTGACACAAAACAAACAAACATATAGAGCAAAGACACCTACTCTCTGTCCAATGAGTTTGTTGACAGGCGCACAGTCCGTATTTTGGAGCTCCATCACAACCTTTGGCCTCTGTTCCTTGCGGTATATCATGAAAGCATTTGGGGGCTTCTTGACATACGGACTGCTCTCCTTGTGTGGGTGTCTATACCTTCTCCTATGGGAAAACAGTAAAACAGAAGGATAGTATGAATGTCCGCTGTGTAAAACTCTGAGGAAAGAAACAAACCAAAAAGGCTGATGAGGATCAAGGTACATAGATAGATAATACATAGACATATGAGGTGACTGTGATTTAATTTTGAGTCTTGAATTTCGTTGTGGTCAGCCACAGATGATGAAGCAGTCAGGTGGACTTACCGTGGAGCGTGGGCCTTAAGAATAGTGATATTGGAAGCGACAGGAGGAGCTGCAGGGGGCGGAATCCCATAAAGGACCTCTCCATTTCTACATAGACATAATCAGGCAGACACGTTAGATGACAGAAGAAGTGGGTTTGAAGATACACACAGAGACTCTCAGTTGTGTGTTTGTTTGTGTGAGATACATACATGAATCCAACAGGAACCAGGTTCCTCCCATGGCCCTGAGGGAGGCACAGAACTGGCCTGTTGTTGACCTGGAGACATACACATAAAGTTTTAGTAACTGCTTAAATGAGCTGCTGTGGACTAAAAATAAAGCCTGTACATACTTATACCTAACCCAGACTTGATAATCCCTGTCTTGATGCTAACATTGTCATCTGAATAATGACAAACCAAAGACTGATAATCTGTCATAGTTGCTCTCTGGTATATTGCTCTTTTGTATATCCCAATAGTTCTGGTATCTGGTATCCCAGTAGTATCACTACTCTTATTATCCATGAATTATTAGTTATAAGTGAATAAGAAGTATCTTTTTTGGCATACAGGTATTGATAAAGTTATTATGAATCAATATCTAACCTTACCTGATTGTGGTGGAAAGGAGCTGCCTGGCAATGCATGTAGTTTGGCTGTAAGATAGTTGGTTGCTTGAACATGGGAGGAGCCGGTCTAGGTGCAGACATGACTGGCTGCTGTAGGCTGAACGGCGCTGCTCCCAGAGGCATGTAGAACTGTGTCTGAGACTGCTGGGGATTAAACTTTTCCTCAGCTGGGGCATAGTAAGTAGGAAGACGAGGAAAGCCGATCTGTGCCGCACGAAATCCAGGTGCACGCATGATTGGCTGCCGCAGGCTGAGCGGTGCTGAACCCAGAGGCATGTGGGTCTCTGTCGGAGGCTGCTGGGGGCCACACTCTTCCTCAGCAGGGGTATCATTAGGATGAAGAAGAGGAGGGTTGTTTTTTGCAGCAAGAAATCCAGCCGCAGAAATGACTGGCTGCTCCAGGCTGAGCGGTGCTGCTCCCAGAGGCATATGGCACTTTGTCTGAGGCTGCTGGGGGCCAGACTCTTCCTTAGCAGGGGTATCATTAGGAGGAAGAGAAAAGTCGGCAGTAAATGACTCCACAACTTGCAATAACAAGTCAAAGCCCCAAGCACGGCTGATCATGGCCCCTGTCTCCACCGTATTCTGGTCAATCTTTGGTTTTCGGTCCATTGTCTTTGTAGATCATAACAAAAATGTCCAGGTTTGCCCTGCAGTGTCTCTTCAAGATGCAAAGGTAAGGAAATTCTCCTTTAATGTTGTTAAAAGCCTTCAAAGTAGATCCATTGAAACAAGATCAAAGCAACTTCTCTGCTCGCTTAATAATTCACTATTGAAGTGTAACTTTGTATTCCTATTTACAGTATATTATATGTATAGGAATACAATCACAAATCACATGATATATGAGATACATCTGTTTATATACAGACAGAGAATACATATTAGTATGTTTGCGGGATTTGAGGGAAAAATGATAACTGTGTGGATGACTTTGATGAAAAACATTAATACAGGAAATTTTATCAGCAATGAAATAATCGCACTTGCACTGTCAGTGCTTGGGCCCTTATAAAAGGGGTATTTAGTAATGTGAGAGGAGAGCTGCAGTGGCTCTCATACATCAGAATGCTTTCTTCTCTCCAGTGACATCATGGACATAGAAATACAGAAATAAATAAGTGTGTAAAAGATTTATTTATTTATTTCCATATTTATGCATTTATCTATGTATACTTAAGTAATTTTTCATCCTCCAGTGAGACCATATAATATAGACCATATTAGAGAGCGTCGGGGTGACAGCACTGTTACAGCAGCATATCAGCATTTTATTTATTGGCAACATGGCTCTTTAGGCCAGGGAACCTGTCTTGTCATCCCCAGCTGCTGTATTTTTCCCTCTGTATGTGTCCCCAGCTGCTGTAAGCTTCATACATTCACACACCTGCATATACATCATCAAGGATATAAGTAAGGTTATTATTATTATTACTTAAAAAGAAAAACTTGAGAAATCCAGTGACTACTGTGAAAGTGCAGCTGACAATAAGTCGTAAGTTTCAAGGAATAATAATATAACACGTGTGCCCCAGTTGGCAAGGCACCCATAACTAGTGAAAGACCATGTGACGGCATGGAAAGACAGCTGACAGGAGGAAAAAATCCCAACGGGGCTGTCATGGACTAGCTATATGATGGCAGGCTCCGTCACTTTGATAAGTGCACAACACCTGACAACACCGTAACTGACCCTGGAATGAACACGACGACGAACTAGAAAATCAGTACAAAACAAGCAACATCAGCTGAAGGACAGGAGCTTCAAGTATGCATCTGCTGCTGGTCCAAGGTAACAACCATCAGAGGCCTAAAAATACATCAAGGGTGGATGAACTTCTTGAAGATACAGAGGCCAGGACCTCGCATTGATCGCTATCTTCTGAGAGAAAGGTCAAGTCAGGCGAGTGAAACTCAGCAGCAGGATTTAACCCACAGTCCACCGAGCATCAGTACCCCAGTGGCTGAGAGAGAGGTTTGGAACAAAAGATAAGGGACAGAGGCAAGTGACACCCACAAACCTTCCCAAGTCCAGAAGGCAGCAACAAATCGAGTGCCTTGTCAGAGAGAGAAGGGACTTGAGGAAGCAATGGAAGAGATCCTCACAGGAGGAAAGAGCAGACATAGACCTCCTGCAAGCAGACCTGAAGGGATGCCTGGGAAGTTTGTGGAGAGCAGAAAACCTCAGGTTCCAATGCAAGAAGATGCTCATCTGGACAGCCTTCAACTTTTTCCACATCCCAAATACTGTCACAAACCTGGTCAAAAACTACTTCCGAGACCTGCAATTCTGTGTCAAAACAACAGAATACACAACATCATGGCAGTTGTTCGAGCTAAGAAGTTAAATTAAATAATTAAAGACTGGGTACCTACTGCATTGCTTGTTCTATCTTGATTATTGCTTTGTTATTCCATTTCTTTTCCAGTGGTAAGAAGTAGGAATAATGGCAGGATGTACCATCTCCCCACTAGCCTTCACCATGGCAATGGAAGTGATCATTTGGGCGTCCAAGAAGGTTGTAGGAGGAGAACGTCAGCAGGAAAAATTGTGGAACAGAGGTTCTACACCAAGGATACACCCATTCCTTTAGTGTCAGAGCTGCCTGTGAAGAGCTTAGGGCGCTGGTACAATGAGAGCCTCAAAGACTCAGACCAGACTCAAAACCAAGGTCTTGTCTATGCTGGCATAGACAAGACCTTGCTCCCAGGTAAGTTAAAACAGTGGTGCCTGCAGTTTGGATTACTCCCTGCCTGATATGGCCTTTAACAGTCTATGAGATCCCCATGACCAAAGTTGAGAAGCTGGAGAGGACAGTCAGCTCTTACATCAAGAGGTGGCTTGGTCTTCCTCGTAGCCTCAGCATTATCGGCCTGTATAGGCATGGGGCCTTGGAACTGCCTGTCTCTAGCCTCACAGAGGAGTTCAAATGCACCAAAGTGAGGCTGAACATGACACTGACCGAGTCTCAGGAAGACGTGATCCAAGTGGCTGCTCCCAGACTGGCAACTGGGAGGAAATGGATCCCATCTGAGGCTGTACACCAAGCAAAATCTGCTCTTGGACATGGAGACATTGTAGGACAAGTGCAACATGGAAGAGGTGGGTTTGGACTTAGAACAAGTCGACCCACATGGCACAAGGCAACATCAACCCAGAGGAGAAAACTGGTGGTTACAGAGGTTCGACAGCAGGAAGAGGCAGCAAGATGTGCAAAGGCAGTCTCACAGCCCAACAGGGCCAATGCTCACATGGAAGGATCTTTGGGAGATGGAAGGAAGCCGACTCAGCTTCATCATCAGAGCCACCTATGATGTTCTTCCATCACCCAAGAAGCTAAACCAGTGGCTAGGAGAGCATCCATCATGTGCTCTCTGCCAAACCCCTGCAACACTCAGGCACATCCTCGCCAACTGCAAAACCAGTTTGTCCCAAGGCTGCTACACCTGGAGACACAACCAGGTCCTACGACAATTGGCAATCACCCTGGAAGGAAGGAGGACTACCAACAATGCCCTTCCTCCCCTGACTTCCAGACATCCGAACACCACCCCTTTCATAAGAGCAGGACAACTCCCACCATCTCAGCATCTGCTAGAGTGGAAGCGACCCTCCTGGACACTGCCCGGGACTGGAAAATGCAGATGGATCTAGACCAGAAGCTTGTCTTTCCGTCAGAGATCATCACAACTAATTTCAGGCCGGACCTGGTCTTGTGGTCAACCATGCAGAAATCGCTCTTCATTGTGGAACTGACTGTACTATGGGAGGATGCAGTTAGTGAAGCACATGAACGCAAATGCCTGAAGTACTCATAGCAGCAGAGGCAGAAAAACATGGCTGGCATGCCCAGGTGCTGTCGAAGTCGGGTGCAGAGGCTTTGTTGCCACTTCCACAACCAAGCCTCTGGGGTGGAAGTGCGAGGACAGGCCTTCCGACAAGCTGTCAAATCACTATGAGAGACTGCAGAGCGAAGCAGCAGCTGGCTGTGGATCAAGAGAAAGGACCCCAACTGGGCTGCAAAGTGACCACCAAGAATAAAAGCAGAGGGGGGCACACCTGGGACATCAGGTGTTGCTGTTGAGCCCTGTGGAGGTGTCGTGGGCCTATCGACGAAACACCAGTGAAGCAGGATGCCCACCTGAAGACCCCAGTGAAGCAATTACCACTACCCCACCCATCACCAAGTGCTGATTAAACAAGGGATTGTAATATCAAGTCCTATGAGCTCAATTTATGTTGTATATTTTTATTTAATTGTTTTTCTATTACTATTTTTATAAATTTGCTTTGCAATAATTTATATTCTGATGAATACATAAATATTAGCCTCATAAATATTTGTTCAATTTTGTTTAAGCTGAAATGAAGAGTGCAAAAATGAAAGATACATTAAAAAGATTTGCTGTATTTATGTTGTATATATACATATATATATATAAAGTACCAGTCAAAACTTTGGACACACCTTCTCATTCAATATTTTTTTTTTTATTTTTTTCTACATTGCAGATTAATATTGAATACATCAACACTATGAAGGAACACATATGGAATTATGTGGTAAACAAAAAGTGTTAAACAAATCAGAATATGTTTAATATTTTAGATTCTTCAAAGTAGCCACCTTTTGCTATGATGACAGCTTTGCACACACTTGGCATTCTTTCAATCAGCTTCATGAGGTAGTAACCTTGAATTGTTTAAATTTACAGGTGTGCCTTGTCAAGGGATTTGTGGAGTTTCTTGCCTTCTTAATGTGCTTGAGACCATCAATTGTGTTGTACAGAGGCAGGGTTGGTGCACAGTTTTATACAGTGAATAGGCCTATTCGACTACAGTTCTAATCCATATTATGGCAAGAACCACCTAACTAAGTAAAGAGAAATGAAAGTCCATCATTACTTTAAAACAGGGAGGTCATTCGATCTGGAAGATTTCAACAACTTTGAATGTATCCTCAAATGCAGTCGTGAAAACCATCAAATGCTATGATGAAACTGGCTCTCATGAGGACTGCCCCAGGACAGGAAGACCAAGAGTTACATTTGCTGCAGCTCTTCGTTCTCTTGCTTGCAGCTCTTAGGTGTATGCGTAGGTTTTTTCAAGCATTCTTTTTGTATAGTCTTTTGTAGCTAAAATCACAGTCTTCAACCATTCAATATATGATGAACATGTTGCAACCTCCCGTTACAAACATGAGAGAGAACTTGTGGTAGCCTTCAGTTTTCATAAAAACTCAAAAGGTGTTTAGTTTGTCCTGTTTAGACTACTGTAAAATACATGCTGGCCTCAGTAGAGAGGACCCGCTCCTAATGCAAATATTGAGTATTTAAATATGAAAAGTCCATTCTAGGGTAAACAAACAGCAATTTGTACAATTTAGATGATCAAACACAAGTGAAAACATCACTAGGATTCTTTTATATTCATTGTCTTACACACTGAACCTTTAATGTATGATCATCATCACACATTAACTCCTTAGGACAACACTGTCCAAGTGACAACTTGTTCAAACCTGATCCCGACCTGAATTTCATGCTTCACTGTGCTGTGATCTGGATCTGACTCATCATTTGACATATCACTCACTGTAAGGAAAAAATGTTTTCAAGTATATTTTGCA